AGTTTGTGAATGGAGGGGAAAAGATCAAGGCCTCGAAGGTTTTTGAACATTTTAAAAATAGAAAGACACAAGTCATTAAAAGTGCTTGATGTAACAGTAGTAAAACTTCATCCATGTCTCACACTAAAACATGTTTGGTCTGGGCTTGGCCCGGGATAAGTCCTTGAATTTGATGTTTAGGAAGGATTGGAAACCCTGATATTATTTCCATGCATGAATTCTGTTCTGTTTTGTCATAACAATGCAAACACATATTCTATCCTTGGGTCGAACAACATTATCAAGCATTCTCAGTTTTGTTTTTGTTGGGGAATACTGGAGAAAAGAAGTAGATTTCTCCGGCAAATAATCATTCTGACAAATAAAGCATTGTATAATGTGTTGTTAGGGTCTAATGTCTGATCAGGATTAGCTTCTTAAGGGGCCTTTTAAATGTCAGCAGGAAAATAAGGTCACATACAGCACTGCATTGTAATGAAAGAAACTGTAGCCAGCACACTCGATTGTTTCATCTTTCATCTCCATCTGTGCAATGCTTTCACTCTCTCTTGTTTGTTCAGCGGGGTTTTTCCTCTGTATTCAGTCGCCTTCTCTTTCACTCATCTTCTCTCCGTCTGCCCTTCCCGGTGTTTTTCTCTCCTGCTCTCCATTGATTGTGTTATTTCCACTCCCAGCTCGCTGTCTTTGTAATTTACACTCACATAGGGGGGGTCAGCCTGTAGATAGGAAGCTAATTAGGAGCAGAGGAATTCCCCATGGTAACATTTCCTATAGTGAAATGCTCCTATGTGTGTGTGTGTCATCTGCAGCCGTGCTTCGGTGACCAGAAGAAGAAAACCTCCAACCTGGAGGCTTACGTCAGGTGGTTCAACAGACTGTGTTACCTGGTGGCTACTGAGATCTGCATGGTGAGTGGCCATTGTTGGTACACCCGGTGCTCCTTTATTCTGTTTCTAGGAGCAAATAAACAGCACATAAAATAAGCTCTTTAACTTAAAGTAACGAATATTAAAAGTAACACTTACCAGATTTGAAAAATAATAAAACGACTGATGAATATCATGTAAATCATGTACTAGACATGCAGTTTACTTGCATGATAATTTTAGAAGTTATATATGTTCACATTTTGTATTTACATCCATCATAGAACCAGTACTGTATTCTTTCATATTGCAAATGATGATACCTTGAAGGATTTATATTGTAGTACAGTATTTCATTTTAATAGACAAATAGAAGGCTGCAGATAAAAGCACTGTGGTTGTTACAGAGTGCTACTGACCCCTAATGGTTACTTTGTGTTACTACACTGACACTGGCACAAGCAGTATAACTGATGGCAGTACTTGTAGAGAAAGACTCACTTAGAAGAATTAAGCATATATGAAACTAAAAACCCTCCTTTTCCAATTTTTGCAGCCAGCGAAGAAGAAGCAGAGGGCCCAGGTGATAGAGTTCTTCATTGATGTTGCCAGGGAGTGTTTCAACATTGGAAACTTTAACTCCCTAATGGCTATCATCTGTGAGTCTAAATTTGGTTTATCTAAGAATATGATTACTAAGAATTATCCTGCACGGCCTTGTATTGATAGTTTGAATTAATTTCCTCCTGCAGCCGGCATGAACATGAGTCCTGTGTCACGGCTGAAGAAGACTTGGAGCAAAGCCAAGACTGCCAAGTTCTTCATTCTCGAGGTAAACCCAATAAAAACTATTCACTGGCTGAGAGGTACAAGACAGGTGATAACTTGAACTTGACAGTTTATTGCTTCTTTGCCATTTGCTTTGACAGCACCAGATGGATCCTACCGGAAACTTTTACAACTACAGGACAGCCCTGAGGGGGGCCGCCCACCGCTCTCGCACTGCCAACAGCAACAGAGAGAGGGTAGGGCAACATGTCACTGTGAAAGCTTGCTGGCATCATTGCAATCATTTTATATCATCCTCATTACTTCCTACATTCTTCTTCCTCTTTCCTCTCCCTCAGATTGTGATTCCCTTCTTCAGTCTGCTGATCAAAGACATTTACTTCCTGAATGAAGGATGTGCTAATCGGTTGCCCAACGGCCACGTCAACTTTGAGGTGAGGCGGTCACACTTTCTCTTGACCATGGGTCCATTTCACCATCCTGAGAAAAGTCACTCAGTGCAATCTTGGTTTTCAGAAATTTGTGGAGTTGGCTCGGCAGGTGGGGGAGTTCATGACATGGAAAAAGGTGGAGTGTCCATTCGAGCAGGATCGGGCCATCCTACACTACCTCCACACTGCCCCCATCTTCAGCGAGGACGGTGAGACCCTGTTTTTAATTTAAACATTTCTGCACATGGTTATCCAAGGATCCCCACTCGTGTTCTTCTACTAAACAATCCTCTTTACTTATTTCCAAACTATTTATTTTTCTCATCCTTCCTCAGGTCTTTACCTTGCATCCTATGAGAGTGAGAGTCCAGAGAACCAGGTAGAGAAGGACAGGTGGAAAGCACTCAGGTGAGAATGATAACACATGTCAAACTAAAATGGGACTCAGAGAATGCTGACATCCCCCAATGGTGCCTTCACATGCGAATGGTCTTATTCCTCTAAATGGGAAGCTGGTGTTCATGAGTTTTCAAGTTATATTGTCAAAGCAACACAGATGGCTATTTCCAAGTTGTTGTTCCAATTTAAGTGAAGAATTTTCCCAGTTTGGAACACATTTTTCAAATTATTCTGACGTTACATGAATGCAGAACACATGTACTATCTCGCTATTTAACTTGATTCATCATTAATGTGCCAGCCCCAGGCTATATGAACCCACCGTCCATCATCCTTTTCTCTGTTTTTCTCTCATCAGGTCTAACGTTCTGGCAAAGACATGAGGTGCTGACGGCAGCCGACCTTCCCACCAGCGAGGGGGGGAGCATGTGTTCTCATTGCACTAAAATGAACTGTGAAGGAGCCTAGCTGGTACTTAGGTGTTTTTCTATGAAGAAATGGTTTTTAAATAAAACATGATGAACAGGATTCATCAAGAAGAGTGTAAAAAAAACAAAAGAACAAATCACAGAAAAGTGAATTGAACAAATTAAGCTATAGACACTGGAGCAAAATGCCTTTGCAGTATTTTAAATATCTGTGATGAGGTACGGTATGTTGGTGAAGGATACACCTCTCCTTCCCTCAATGTGTGTTTGCTCTGTAAAGATATGTTTACTACTATAGAGAGTACAGTTACAGGGAATACCACTTTATATAATGAATTCCTACTGATTATTGTTTTTGTATTTGCTCCTCTTCTGTCTTCTCTCTTCTCTTTCCCTTTGGCCTAAAAGCCTTGTCTGGGTATTTGATTTTTCCTTTACTTGTGATGTACTGTGTTGAAACTTACAATGATGTGAAGGGCGCTGGCTAGCCCGTATCAGCTGTCTAATTTTATAGGTCTACTGAAGGAATGGCTAGTGACTGTGTGCACCTGGGAGGACCGAGAGGACATGCCTTGAGCATTTCACCAGTTTATCTCAAGTGTACTTGTATGTGTGCGAGTGCGTTTGAGATCCAGATGTTCATGAATTCACGTCCGTTCAGATTATCACTGTCTTGTTTTGCATGAGAATGACCGGAGAAGCCAGTTTATAAGTCATCTCTACTTGTATTTTAATATATTGTATCTTATTTTGGGCGGGTAATATGAACTGTTTGAAAAGTGTTTACTACTTTGAAATGTATCGTGCCAGTTATGCGAGACAACTACAGTATAGTTAAACAGGAGCTAGGCCAGGTGTAGATTGTGTACAGGTTAAATTAACTCCTCATCTTTCTGCTCTTCAGGAAGTTTTCTCTGACTGACGTTCAGTTGTCTGATATATTTATGGAGATTTCTGTGCTGACAGATGTATAGTTTTTATTGTAACTTTCCTTTACTGAACATGAAGTCAAATAGCATGCTACCACAGGTGTCTATCTGCCTATAGAGTAAAGAGGGAAACTTGTGCCATATGTTGTCATGACAATTCAGGTTCCTCTGACTTGAAATGTGTTTATCATTTTGTGGGATTGTCACTGAGCTTTGTTTTTTGGCAGTTTTGTTGTGATTTGGGAGACATTTTTGAGGTTGCGGGAGGAGAGAGTTATAGGGAATTATGTAATTATAAGCTTTTTAAAAACAGTCGTATTCAGTTTGCTATAATTGATTGATGTCAGTGTTTTCTCTTTAGAAGCACCTTTCCCCCTCTCAATAACAGACTGACTTTAATTCTCCCTCCTCCATTTGTCATCAATAAACTTTCTTTCCCTGTAACACCTTCCCCAGATAAGTTAGATAAGTCAGACAATAGAAAGCCAGGACGTATGTGCAGTCAAACCTTCCGTTAAGAGCGAAGACGTGTTTTAATAAAACATCGCCTGTGTTCAACATGTGTTTTCAATGACAATCACATTAAATCAGATATTTTTAAAGGTGTCATCGCACTGCCAAGTCTATCTTTGAAGTGTTTGCTTTCAAACATACATTGCTGTGTGCAGCTCAAGGAGTGGAGTGCATTTAGCGGTTATTGAAGCCAAGCAGACACATGCTTGGCTCCAACTTTACTGCATCATTTGTGACTGGTTCCTACACAGCCTTTAATAAAAGTAAACGTTGCTTCGATCATTTGCCTTCTGTTTGATTGATTTCCATGTGCCTGCCCATTCAAGCGTGGCTTGAACAAAACATTAAAACAAAGCAATGCATTGAATAAACTATCAGGGTTTTCAAAATAATGAATCCCAAAATATAGATGTTGCAAGACTTCATTTGCAATCCTCACCTCAGATAAATTAATGAGGTAATTAACTGCAGCTCCATTTGAAAAATACAAACACTAGAAGGGAAGCTGTGATTTTTCACAAATTAGTGGCAGCACATAACTATTTACCAAAGCCCAAGGCAACCACTTCAATATGCTTGTTTTAGTTCAAGTCCACGCGTAACTACACCGGTCCAATAAATAAGGCCACGAACATACTGATCTGGTCTTTTTTACGGTTTATTCTCTCCCTCTCGCTCTCATTCTCCGAAGACAACGTGTAAACTATAAGAAATGAACAGTTGAAAGTTTACATTAAATCGTAACACCTAACACATTAGCTAAATCAAAGCACACACTAAATATTAACACACATATCACAAAAGAGAAACATTTACCGTGTGCGCCTCTTGAACCCTGTAGATTATGCCAACGGCATGCGTTGCCATGGCAATGCCTTCTGACCTGACTGTGGTCATGCGACTCACCGACCACATCCCAAATGTGAACCATTCTTCATTTCGCTATCCAGATAACACTCTACATTTTATAATTCTCTAATTACACTCAAATTTACTAAATCATAAATTGATAAGCAAGGCACACAAATGAACATCCAAATATAAACACTTCTCAGACCGTTACACTCCCACCACATTACTATGATTTATGAAACCTGTCTGAATAAATCTAGTCATTTCAAGAACCAAGGTGGATATATGTGAAGTACTTTAATACACTGGTAAGTGTTCAAAGATCTCTACGGTTCCATTAAAACACTTCTTAGTTGTTTTCTACAAGTACAACTAGTTTATGAACAGGACTTTCGAGAATGGATGGTTTAACTGATCGTTTTTCCTTCTTTCCAAGCTTGCTGTTTCCTATTTTGAACTGTGTCTTTCCTTGCTTTGTGACTTTGTCCTAATCTTCTCACCGTTTTTACCTTTGGCATCCTCTTTAGGCTTTGTATCAGACTCATGACTCTTATTTCTATCTTTACTGTGATCAGACTTTCTTATTTTGGTCTTTGCTCCTCGAGCGACCTTTTCTGTCATCACTTTTGTCTTCTCTCTGCTTTTTGACCTCTTACTCTTCTCTTTGCTTTTACTGCGGCTTTGAGATTGATCTTTTTTCTTTGCCTTGTGTTTGCTATGCTTCTCATCCTTTTCAGCATTGTCCTTTTCTTTGCTTTTAGATCTGTGTGAACGGCTTTTCTTCTCTTTTATCCTAAAGTATGCCATTTCAAATGTTAAACTAAATAGAAAATAGAAATGTATGAGTGAGAGTGACTGAAACCAGCAGATATGTTTTATTAATGACTTTACCAATTATCAAAATGGTTGACGATTACATTTTTGAAGATGACGTCAATTTATTTTTTCAGCTTACATTATTAAGGACATAAGACGCATAATCGATTAAGATAAGCGATACATGGGATATGCCTATGTGATAAATACCACATGCAGGAATTTAATGAAGTTATTTTATCCTGCAAAATAAACTAATAATTACTACATAATGTATGTATTATAATGTAAATGATAATATAGACATACAGGCAATTTTTATAAAAGAAACATAATTGAATTTGTGGTGGAAAAATATCTCAGGCACATTCCACCTGAGATGATGAATTTGATAAGCACATATAACCAAGAGGTGCTGAGAATGACTTAAAACGCATTTAATTTTTGGGTTTAGTACATGTTAGTTTTTGAGTTCCTCTTCCTTTCGGTCAAATGTTAACTCCGCCAGTTTGATGTACGTGTCAAAGTGCCTGGAGGCCAGGTAAGTGCCAAAGACCGCTTGGAGCAGAATCACCGCTCTCATTTTCCTCAGGACCGGTTTGGAGATGTCCATCCAGTACCGGAGTGTGTTGCCCTTCTCTGCCATCGGTGCTGTATTGTACCTGCATGCAAGCCCAAAGTTCACAGGTAGAGCCATGAGGATAGGGTACAGGCCACCACCGACCACACCAACAAGTGCACCCCGGATCAGGGCACAGGTGGGACAGTTGAGATCCCCGGACAGCAGGGGGCCGGTCACTGCACCGCTGTAAAGGGCATATGTTGTCAGGAAGGGCATCACGGCCAGTGGCAGGCTGGAGGAGATGCGTGCCTGCGTGACATTCAGGCCTCTGCGATACAAGCTGTTGGATATCAATCCTGCAAGAGCCCCGTTCCCCGCCAGATACATGGGTCCGTAGAGGAAGAGTTTCTTATCAAAGTCAGGCAGTCTCTCGAAGTTCTTCCCCAGCATTTCAGAAATAATAGCTCCGGTGAGGGCATTTCCAGAGTCCTTCTGCGTATTTTCCGACATCTTCAGATTAATGTTTTTAACCAAAACACCGATCTACACTTTGCCTTATTGAGAGGTCTTCGTTTACAATTTGAAAAAGTCAGTAATCACATTTAGGTAAGGTAGTCCTTAGTAGCAACACTGGGCGCAGACATTTATTTCCCACAATTCAAAGCGAAGGATCGTGGGTTTAGTTACCCTGCGTTTAGTATCTCAGGCAAGTTGTATAATGAGCCGTTTACTCCATTGGTTTTTAAAGTGTGTTTGTTTAATCCAATTCTCGGTCTGACCAAATTAGTGTAGATGGAAATAATGGAAGAAAACTTTTTTTTTTTAAAACGAGGCATGGGTAAGAATAAACATCATCCAAATAAATTTGAACTGTATCAAATTGTGATATTATTTGAATGAATGGTGGCCTAATGCCTTTATGTCTAAAGGCATTTAGGTCTCTCTTCTACTCTTTGTGTGACCATAGATAATGTACATATATGCTAAAGTAAAATAGACCAAAAATAATGTGGGCTGTTAAAGCAATATTAAAACAAGTAGCCTACTAAATATTCTGCCCGATCATCAAGAGAGGAGAGAATAGATCATATTAATGCATTTTAAGCAGTAGATATTGTACATTTCCATGCAATTTTCAACAGGGGACATTGCACATTTTACACGGGAGCCTCTTTGGCTTTGCACTTTATTTCACCTGTAAGGATAAACTCAGGACAGAAAAGCCCATGTTTCATAGCAGGGGGCGTTGCTATTACGTCATTGGATTTGTTTGACGACGTTCAAGTAAACTTCCCTCGGATTCAGGCACAGATCGCCATCTTTGAAGACGGCTAGTCGGAACCTTTTTATCCTTTGTTCGCATTTTTAACATAACATACACTATCGAATCTCATTATTTGAAACGTCAGGTAAGTCCACTTCTTGAATCATGGTTAGCTGACACTTAATTATGTTGCCAATAGTTGAGCCATGGAACATTCCCTTTATTTTAGCCAACTTTAGCTAGTTAGCTTTCCAAAACTCGAAGGACGCCCGCCATGGCAGATCTCTGTCGCTAATTCGACGAGAATGTATTCCATCGAATACTTTAACAGGTTGAATAGGAATATTTGGATGGCACTAAATATAGTTTTGACAGTAAACATCGCTTGTTGCTACTAGTCACATTAAAATGTATTCATTTAAAATGTAGGCTCACTCACTTAATGTGCGTGTTGTTCTGGCTAAAGTTTAAAAGCTAGCATTAGCCTGCATTAGCCTGCTCGACGGGCCTTTGGGTCGACATCATCATTCGACGACTCAATGCTTTATTTACGTCGAGCCAATCAACTGGTTAACCTTCCAATTAAAGACTACAAATAGTTGCCTTATTTTGCGTTGCAAATTACCTTATGTAATTTCAGCAATTGATTAAGATTTGATTGGTCGAAGTTTCTGGAACTGCATGATAACTGAAGATCTACGGCCTGACATCGCCCTACGTCGGCCAGCATTATAGCTTCTCCACGTTTTATGCCACCCTTATGGCATTTGTATCAACCTACGTTTAATATAACTCTTTATCCGTTAGTATTTTAGGTTTTGTTATTAACGTCATTACTTGTAATGCACTGCAATGTTTTCAACCTGCTAACGTTGCGCAATTTTTATGAAGAATGTTCTGTTTTGGGATAGTTTTAGAGCTGCAACGGACGAGCACTTTCGGTGTGATTTTATTTTTTATAAAAAGTTGCCCCATTGATTCATAATGTTAAAAACAACATCAAAACTACTTAAAAACATTAACCAACAACGTCTTGTCATAACCCAAATTGGGCAATTTGACACTGTCCAACACTTGTCTAAGGATAGAGGGTGTCGTTTTTCTCATACTGATATTCTGAACAATCTGTGCTGTTGTATTTGCTGTAAAGTGTCTCTACTGTAGGCTATTTTTATTATATGTACAGCACTTTGGCTCGACCAAAAATCGTTTATAAATGTGCTATATAAATAAAACTTGATTTGTATATATTTATATTTTTCAATGATATATATACACACTTGTTCTCCTTTGAGAAGATGAAGCGAGAATCTGGCTACACCCCCACTAAATGCACACTAGGCAGTTGAATGTTCTTTTACATTTGTGCAGCATCTCTAGAAACAATCCCCCAATGCAGTGAAATTCCATTTTGACCTGTTTCCCATGTCTTTCAGATGCGCCAGTCGAAGCGAATGCGCTCCCCAGGTGTCTGGCTTGATGAGTATAGCTGGGAGGAGAGAATGGAGTGTCGTAAGCGAAAGAAACAGTTTTCACATAGCAGTGAAAGAGAAAACAAGTCAAGAAGAACTCAACTTCACCACCGGACCTATGACGGGTAAATATCTTTCAGTCTTTTTTTTTGTAAAGTACCATTTTCAAATGTTATAACCTTCATTTTAACTGAGCAGAACATTATCCAGTAATGCCCAGGAGACTGGCTAAGTGTTAAATATACTATCATTTCCACCTGGGTTTTGTGGAACAAATGCAATTTATGGATCTCCTGTGGAACAGCTGTTACACAAATATTTGTATAACATATGGGAACATGCACAAATAAAGGATACATACTGTCTACTACTTTATCCCTAAAATCATAGATGTAACCCAACATCGAAATGGCAGATATGTCAACAATCCGGTCAGATCCGCATTATTTCAGATTTGTTGTTCGTGTGTAATACCTGTCTTAATATGCAACATGGATGCTATTACACTGGTTAAGCTAGTTAGGGTGCAACTATTTCGACATGTAGATCAGTAAGATTTGAATTCTAGTAAGTCATTCTGTGAAAATGTATAGGATAATTCCCTCAATACTGTTTCTACGTTTAGATTAAGATTGAGTCGTACTGCCACGGTTTGAGTTGAACTTTTAGTTACATTCATAAGACTTCAGTTTAGTAAACAAGCTAATCCTTTGCCTGTGCTACAAGGTAACTCTTGTATATCCATTCCTTTTGTGTTTTTGTAATTAAATACACTTAGAATAAGAACCCCCTTGCCCTCAGTTTGCAATGGTAATACGTTTTGCAATTCTCTCTTTGTTGATGGCCCAGGGTTGATGTTTCCAGGTCTGCTCTAATTTTAATTCTGTAGGAGGGCAGACTTCTTCCTGGAAGACAACTGACACCAGCAGGGTGCCAGGGCTCGAGGGGTTTCTTGATCCCTTTAAGGTGCCAACATGGCCTGCAGTGTGGGTGTGCTGGAAGCCATTTCAAACATTCTAAGCAGACCAACCTTAATAAACAAACTCTAGGATTACTTTCAGCAAGGCATATTAAAGGAACTGTTGGGAGGTCATGGAAAAAGTGATGTTTTATAAGCAACAAACACATTTCCCAGGCCTTGATAAATATGGTACAACACAGTTCACTTGTGGAGTAGGTGTGCAGAATCACAGAACAGCGTCTTTCCTTTCCTCACTGTCAGCAATTGTGTCTTTCTGTCAGGTTGAACAGGATTCAAGGAATGCTTACAATTGCCAATGAGATGGATTTATATATGTTATAACCGCCTGTTACGTCACATGTTGAATTTGCATACCACAAAAAGCACTAGCTGCGTAGTGACGGACAGTTAATATAATTCTCTCATTAAGCAGGACGTCAGGTGGCTGCAAATCAGCTTGTTGCTAATTACAAACGTGACATAAAAGGCTCAGGGTAGAGTGTCAAGCAAGTGGCAGACTATTGGCACCATATGCAGTCTTCATTCGAGAGCGTTATCGCAGACAGAGCCAGGCTGTTTCCGACCTGACTTTCTGCTCCGTGGTTTTGATTTGGTCCTCTTTCCGTTTGACTGCAGGCATTACTTGGAGACCCGCAGTCTGAACCGTAGGCTGGATTCTTGGGAAAGACCCACACGGGACCCCAGTTTTGGCATGGCCTGTGAGGAGGACAGTCGTGAAGGGACCTACAGGGACAGAGAGCGTGACTGGCACCACTACAGCAAGTCGTCCGGGCGCAGCGGTCGCAGCAGGCGAAGCAGCCGCCGGCACCGAGGGCGCAGGCGGAGCCCCTCTCGCCCCAGGTCCTCCACGGTACGGGAAAATCCTTCTCCACGCTTCTCCTCTCCTGTCTTTTTCACCAAATCAGATGGGCCATCACGGGTGTTAAGCCAATGCCTAACACCTTTCTCTTTGTCTCTGTGTATCCAACTCTTAACTATTTAAGCATGATTTTCAATAATGACAAGTAGGGGGCTCAGCAAGTAAGACCCTGTGAGTGTTAAAAGATTTTCTAGAGAAAAAATGGACCCTGTTTTTGTGCTTAAATCTTAGTTTGCAGTAATAGGACGTGATGGTAAATAATGTATTTGTTTCGGAAGAGTTACAGAGAACTACATGTAGATAGACTGTCATCAATCAAGTTCAGTTTTTTTCTGTACTACTCTGAGAAAGTCTCTCATCTGAAAATCTTGTTGCCATGTTTTTCTTCTGTAACACACACTATGTGGTGGCTGCCGCCCAATTTCTCTGACGGGGCTGAATTTGAATTTGCTGCTCCGTCCTCCCGTCCATTCGCCTGCCGGTGTTACTGAACGGGCCGAATCTATCCACCCCTACACCTCCCCCCCTGGCCTGGTTGAATGAATGACGATGTCGCATTGTGGTGGCTGACTGATGGGTTATTGATGTGATGGCGGTTCCGGGTGCAGAGGAGGAGCCAACAGCGCAGGAGCAGGAAAAGATCCAGGAGTGTTGAGGATGATGACGAGGGTCACCTCATCTATCACAGTGGAGACATGCTGAGAGCGAGATGTATAGAATATATACTTTTTTTTTCTACTGTTGATCACACTTTGTGTCTCACTCTCTTGTTGTCTGGTTTTTATTTCTAAACATTAATTTAGAGGCTGTTGTATTTTGGCCAGTAGACTTAATACTTTTTTTTTTTTTTTAAATACTGCTTGTCAGTGTAACATATTTAGCATTGAGTTGCAGTCAAGTGTTCAGATGCCTGTTTATAGAAGTGTAGCTAAACAGAGAAACATCAGGCAGTGCAACAGCCTAAAGGCAGTGCTTCACCTTTTCTGTTCTGTGGTGCTAACTTCAGCTTTCTATTTTCTGTAGATGAGATTGTGTGTACTCTAGGAGAAGGGGCCTTTGGGAAGGTCGTTGAATGCATTGATCACTCTAAGTACGAGAATATTCCTTACAGTTCAATTAACAATTAAAAACTCACTATCCCACAAATTTGATATTAAAAGTATGTTGTGTGTTTCCAGTGATGGAGCTCGATTGGCTCTGAAGATCATTAAAAGCATAGACCGCTACCGTGAGGCAGCTATGGCTGAGGTAGAGGTGCTTGAACAGTTGAAGTCCCTCGACTTGGATAAGAGATCGTAAGTCAGGCCACTAATACAGATCACCACCTAGTGGTCAACACATGTATTTTCAGAATTTACCATTTCAAGAAACTGACTCTGCATGTCCTCTCCTCCTCTCTAGTGCTTGCGTACACATACTGGAGTGGTTTGACTACCACGGCCACATTTGTATTGCCTTTGAGCTGCTCGGCCTCAGCACCTACGATTACCTCAAGGAGAACAATTTCCAGCCGTTCCCCATTGAACACATCAGGCCCATGGCGTACCAGATCATCAGAGCTGTGCGATGTGAGTGACGGACACATTTGTAAATGGAGAATAGAGTTTTAAGGATTGGTTTTGAATGTGTGTGGTCTTGTCTTCCAGTTCTGCATAAAAACAAGCTGACTCACACTGACCTGAAGCCTGAGAATATTCTCTTCATTGATTCGGGATATAATATGCAGTACAACCCTGACCTGGTAAGGATCTTTCATGCCTTCTGAAGCATTGGCCACATTCTAAAACGTTATTTTGTGCAGCTGTTTTATTAGCATGATGTGTTTTTGTACTCAGAAACGGGATGAACGGACGTTGAGGAACCCAGATGTGAAGCTTGTGGACTTTGGTAACGCCACATATGAGCACGAGCACCACACCTCTGTGGTGTCCACACGTCACTACCGGGCTCCTGAAGTCATTCTAGGTATGTGGCGGTTTTTAACGCATCTTATGCAGATCCTTCAGCAGAGACGTGTCTTATTCAGGAGACATTACCTCTTTCAGATCTGGGCTGGGGCCATGCCTGTGATGTCTGGAGTGTGGGCTGCATTCTCATTGAGTACTACCTTGGAAATACTCTCTTCCAGGTAAGACTCATGGGAAACTGCTATAACCTAGTATTACAAGTAATGAATAGGTTGGGTCTCATATAGTCCTTGACGAAAAGCTTGATTTTGAACATATTTAGAAGATCGTCTACACGTTCACTCGTGTAAAACAAAACTATTGTTTAATTCAAATGAAACAATACTGTCATCATATATATGTGTTGTCTCATATCAGACAAGGACAAAACTTGAGCTAGCATTTGATTATCATAATTACAATATAAAAGGATATTTACAGTTGGTAACAAATGTATTAGCTAAATGTAATGCTGTGGGTTTTTTCATATCAACTATAATAACAGTATGGTAGGATAAAGGCTTCCAGAGCCTGGATAGTTTGGGTTTATGTACAATAAAGAATGCTAGCACCTTAATAAGCACTGTGTCAGTTACCATGGCATTTTGCTAAAAGTGATATTGTTTTCTCCTTCAGACTCATGACAGTAAAGAGCACCTTGCTATGATGGAGCGAGTCCTGGGCCCCATCCCAATGAAACTCATGCAGAAAACAAAGTAGGTGGTTTTTAAACTTTTTGTTACCATCTTCCTTCCTCCTGAACATATACAATGCAGACAGAATTTAAAGAAATGTTTCTAACTCGTAGAAATGGTTTTATCTTTGTGTGTACAGGAAGCGGCGGTATATCCATCGGTGCAAGCTTGACTGGGATCCAGAGAGCTCTTCTGGGAGATATGTCAAGAAACACTGCAAACCCCTCAAGGTAAGAGAATGTGTCTGTCCACCCTGTCCACGCTGCATGTAGTTCACACGTATGATATGTAGAGGACAACCATTTGAATATAAGTTAGCTACCTTTTTTGTTTCTAAAACTTGGAAAAAATATCAGTATGATTTGTTTGTTTTAGTATTCTTACACTAACCGTCACCTTTTTTCATCAGAATTACATGCTGTCTAAGGGCGAGGACCACCACCAGCTGTTCGACCTGGTAGAGAAGATGTTGGAGTACGACCCAGCGACGCGCCTCAGTCTGGAGCAGGCCCTGCGACACCCCTTCTTCTCCTGCTACCGCAAGAGTAGCCGCAGAAGCACCAGCAGCAGCAAAAAAGACTGAAGCTGTGACCTTGGTCAGGGCCTGGCTGTCACCATGACGATTCTCATGGTGACAGCGCAGCCTCTACTTCCTGCCTCTCCAGGAGAGGTGTGGCCTCGCTGACTGTATCAGTCCTCTGCCCTGCTCCGCTGTGTCCTCTCCTACGCCGGTGTGTTCTTACTCAATCAAACTCATCAACCAGCTCTGTTATCTTCTGTGGCAATTTCTGATGTAAGGAATTCCCAAATTGATTTATATTTATTTGCTAATTTAATTCTGGTAAAAGCCCTTTTTTATTCAAGTCCAATTGTGTACATTGCATTGTGAAGTGAGTGATGGGGAATGTACCAGAATGAGATTAGGGTTACCCAGCATCAGTCTTGCCAGTAGTAATTTATTCAGCACTATGGATGTAAAAAAAGCTATTGCGGGCAGAAAATCCTTGTACATACAATTTGTTATTGATATTTCTTTTTTTTTCACTGACTTTTGCAGTATTGTGTACATTTTTCTCAATAAACGTGAATAGATTATAGTAATGTCTCCTGTGTGTGCAGTGATTGAGATGTTCAGTTGCAGTAGCTTCATGTAACCACCGGGTGGCAGTAAAAAGCTTTCAGGTTACTGCAAGAGTGACGCCTGATGAGCACTGAACATGGTCGTGGCAAAGCATTAACTGAAATGATGGATGGTCTTGACCTGGAGCTCCTAGCACGGCGCCAACAGGAAATGTGTAATGCTATTAACATTGTACACCACTTGTTAAATGACAAGCTGCACCCTTTCAGAAATGATAATTGTACAAAGTAGCAATTGGGTATAACAATGGAAATGGAAGATTGCAATAGAGACACCTCTTAATCCAACACAGTGCATTTAGCCCATTTTAGTGTTATGAGCAGTGATGCGACCTTGCTCCTCAGTACCAGTCCACACTGCGTGTCCTATTCATACGGGGACCCTCTGCGTCAGTCAGGTAATATAGGCACTGAGCTACTGCCGGCTTAAAGATAATCAAACTCAGACATCAAAAACTAATATACAGTTTTCGTATTATTTAAGTTTCTAAATAGAGTAGATATTGATTGATTTACGTCCTTCTCTGTGAACTAAACATTTGTTGAAGGATCTGCAATATTATATGATCCTCCAGATGCTTCTTTTTTACAATAGGCTATAGCTGTCACTGCTGGGGTCAGGTATTGAACACAGAAACCGTTTGTAAGTTTGGAAATGTAAACTATATTTACACATTTCAGTTTATCACACAACAAGGCACATTATCTTCACTTCGAAAAATTCTGCATTGGTTTTAGAAAAATAACAATTAGCATCCTGGACTACACCAGTGCTGAGGTGCCGAGCCAGTCTCTCAACTGTCAATCAGCAGCCTCCCACGTGGTCTGCAGGGCGGGCGCATCTCAACTAGTTGAACATGCAACTTTTAGGGAGGCAAACAATTGGCCCCAGTGGTAGTTTCAGTCGCGCATCCATGGTGGATACTCCCCAACAGGAAACAACCACCAGTACGTTTGAAGGCGCCTTTCACTCTGGTTGGCATGCATATCGCTCCCATGTGTTAAGAGTAAACCCGGTGTGCACTGCCGCTGCTCCTGCCTCTTGTTCCAGACTAATTTAAGACAGCACTTTCAACTTTGAGTTCAGTGTTGTGTTAGGTGCGCTGTCTACTCTACGGAGCCTGAGTTTAACCGCAGAACTACACCTCCAAAACGGCGTTTTTGGGGTATTTTATGTTCATCCACAGGACTGTAAAACAGGATTTTACAATGGATACAGCCAGCCACTCTATCGGGGAAAGTAAGCCTGTGTGTGAGTTTGCGCCCAAGTCTTCGGTGCAGCGGTGGCTTCCAGGTTTTCCCATCGCTCTGTGCCTGCTGCTGTCTATGAGCTCCATCACCGTGTGTCTTCTGATGAGCCTCAAGACCTTCCAGCTGGAGAGCCGAATGCAGATGGAGATGGACAAAGCCTCCATCTTCCAGCCGCCGCACAGGGCTTGTCTAAACGAGGATGGGACCCTAACTCCAGAGCTGAGCTCATCAGTAGGGAAATTCGTGGAAGAGGTACATTGCATCTATTGTCTTAAATGGCCTCTATTGTATTAAATAAACAGCCTACATTGTGTGTGTGAACTTCTGACAGAGACCTGTGCGTAAAAGTGCACTGAGGTTGACTTTTTTGGCAATTGCTCCCAATTATTCCCCCTAAAATCAGTTTGTTTTTAATGTATGACCGTAGGGGTCAACATTGCATGCAGCTGGCTAATTACGTTTACTATTAAAGCTCTTTATAGAGTGATATAACCACTGATGAGACCCCAACCTATAATTTGATCAAATGGAAAAGGAATTGAGCTAGCCCTTTCCATTTTGGAGCTTTATATAATGGGAGACAGATGATATAGACTTTTTTTATTGTTAGTCATTGAGATTTTGTAAATCTTTTATTCTCTGAATATGTTTCTTAATGATTTCCTCATTAAAAATATATTAATGTCTAGAACTGGGATTTTAAACTGAGGTGTTTTTTCTCTGCCTGCAGAAAGTGGTGGTGCTGTTGCCAAAATTAAGGACAACTAGGGACGTTGGCCAAGAGTGCTCCTGCCCTCCAGGTATGTCTCTTTCTTTGTGGTATTAGTACCACTTACTGCAGCCTATCAGGTAAAAGTTACAGTCAAGGCATGACTGAAGGCTAAGAAACCCGATTATCTGTCTATGCTCTTTTGAACTGCAGTGTATGTGTATCTGAACAATAAGAATGCATGTGTATCGTTTCTGTGTCTGAAATCGGCCCCTTCACTTAGGCAGGGCCCATACTGAGACGGCAGGGTTCTGCACTCAGCAGATCAGCGGGGTCGGGACGTCCAGCCTCAGCCCTGCCGCCTGAAAGTCAGTGGGGGATGCTCACTTTTATAGATGGAGCAGCCAAGTGCCAAGATTGGCCACGTTTGGCTGGCGGTGTTTGTTACAGGGCTTGTGATAGTTCCACGGGTGGAGAACAGTGTGTGATCCACATCATGTTACCCCCGTTATGCCTTTTGAGTTGCAAGAAATATGTTGTTTTTTCTATTTTGGGTAAAGATGCTGCTCCATTTGATGTATTGATGAAGCATCAGTCGGTGTGATCATCAGTGTGTTCAATGGTTAACATTGGCTATTTTTACCTCACCTTTGGAGAGGAAAGTTGTGGTTTGCTGCCAGAGAAATTCTCAGGCTTGCATTCAGGAACTTTTAAAATTGCAACTCAAGTGGAATCCTACTTAGTCTCCGAGTATGTGGTTGCAAACATGTCTTTCTTTTGTGTGACTTTTGTATCAATAGGTTACAGCATTTAAGCTGCTTCTCTGCACATTATGGGACATTTCTCTCCCTGGCTCTTGTTTCTTCTCTCTTCCTCTTTGTCTGCGAGTGTGAATGCAACAACGAGAACAGGTGAAAACGTTCACAAGTGGAATTTTTGGCCCCCTTTCAACACATTCTGTTTTCCAGTCTGAAGGCTGCTGTGCTAAGATAGCTTGCGGTCTCTGTTTTGCAAAGTTGTTGCGAGTGTTGTTGGCATTGGATTCAGCAGAGCGCTCTCAATGTAAGTGTAGTTTTACTTCTATGCATTTGTACTAAGCATTACTCAGTAGAATTATAATCAGATACGTGTTGCCCAATTAGCCTGTAATCCTTCTGCCTGGTTCTTGTGCATTTGAATGTAAGTTTTTTTCCTTAGAACATATTATTGTATCAAATGTTAAATCCCATTTTCCTGTCAATTGTTCTTAACTGCTGTGTAATCATGTGGTTTTGGCACTGAAATCCAATCCCTCCACAACTATTTAGAAGTCTATTTAAAGTTTTCTCTTTCCAGTTTTTGGTACTGCTAAGATGCCTTATTTTGTGAAACAAAAGGCTATTTTGTTTATTACGGCTTTGATGCAACCGTTTCCCTGTAAATATACTACATATACTAAAATGTGCTATAAAGAGAATTTCTCAGCAGATAAAACCTAGAGATTTTCTAGGTTCTCTGGCTCAAGAGTCCACATGAGCTTGGTACTTTTAGGAGTGAACCATGTGTTTGTGCCAAGTACTTAACACATGATTCATGCAGAAGTTGGTATGTACATTTATCTGAGCTGAGCTGTGCATCCCATCAGTGTGACTGTGCAGTGTGGTCATGGTCCCATATGGCTGCGTGTGGTGTTGTATACGTGTGTGTGTGTGTGTGTGTGTGTACGTTTCTGTCACTGAACCTTTGAGGGGCCGACAGAGGCAGCTCTCTCAACACGACACTGTAAGAAGAGACCCTCCTCTCCCTTTAGCACCAGCTCTTCCCACCTGAAACCTGAATCTCTCACCACCAAGATCACAGGCCAAAGTATTCCTGCCTGTATGTGTGTGTGAGGGACACACTGCCACACAGCAGGAGTGGCATTTCAGCCATTAAATCTATGCCCGCCACATCACGGTGCTCACCTTACAGCCTGCATGAACACAGGGGCCCAACAGGGGGCAGCACTTCTGCAGCCGCACTGGAAATGATGATGTTGAATTGGTCATTGGCACTTCTGACTTAATAACTTCCTTCTAAAGAAAATGTTGTAGGCAAAGCGCTTTTGTTCAGCCACAGCTGTAGAGACACTGTTTATAAATAGTTTTTGACGCCAAAGAACATTTATCTCTGGTTTCCGCTCCGTAAAAGCAGCATTGTGACACTTTTATGCTCACAGATACGACACGGCAAGCAGTCGTTAAGGCTTAGGCAAACTGTGTCACCGAGAGCAACTCTGCTTACAAGCTTCAGGTGTTTGCAGTTAACACCCGCCTGTTCCCTCAACAGACACACACTACGTATGCTTGCACACAAACCTGCACACACATGCATTACGAACACATGAACACAACACCTTTATGGTGCCTGGGCTAATTAGAAGCATGTGGGGGCTGCATGTGTCCTGTGTAGGGGGAGTGTATTGTCATCTCTGCAATTTGTATTTAAAGGCTGTTTAACAGGTCTGAGAGCAGCTAGGGGGCACACCGTCGGCCCACACTTGGGCACGGGCCCAACATTAAATGGCAGCCAGATACAACCAATAATATGACTCAGTCACTGGAGACTGCAGCAGGAGAGGGATGCAGTGATCACCCATCCAATAAGAAGACAGTGTTGTAGGATTGTTATGAAATACAAGGTCTGAACAGCCTTCAATGGGGCAACATCTTAAATATTAAGATGAATTAAAAAAAGTGAGGGGTTGCTGCTCCTATTTGTCCTTTGTTAGCATTAACTAAATATTCTTTAGGTTTGGACATCATGAAAACAAAGAGATTTTTCTGTACCACTTTACAATAAGACTACCCTTATAAAGGATTCATAAAGGGTTTATAATTAGGTTGTACACACTTTATTTATCATTAAGAACCATTTATAAACAAGTTCTAACAGTTTTCATATATCAACACAGGCTCACTATTTGGCAAGATGACTAAGCCTTATATTGGCTACTTAGCGAGAATCAACTCAGTGAGCAACAGATACCAAGAATGCTGGCTGATGAAGGAGACGAAGTAAGCTAAGTAGCCAATATAAGACAGTACAGATAAATGTGGGCTCACTATTTGGCAAGCAA